ATGACTCCATGATTTTTAGCAATTCTTTACGGACTCGCGTAAGCTACTACGTTCCACTGCAACTCCGTTAGACGCTCGTCCTACATTCTTACTAGATATGTTGAAGCGCATCCCGGAGGAGGGGGGGGGGACCAAAAGTAGTATATTGTAAGCAACTAGATTCCGGCTTGCATCTCTCTGTATCCGCATACTTGGAAACACTAAAAACGTCGTACTTCTCTTAAAGCATAATTGCATAACTGCCAATGGTGCCAATTGAGATTTAGATAGATCCAACGTTTATAGCACTTCTATCGAAGTGATGCCACTGCCAATGATATGGGTGGAAGATGGAAAACTACCTGTACGTTTGAGGAGGGACAGATTCTGGAGTTTATTGATTTCTAGTCGGATGTTCTTTCTCTACCTTATCGACCAGACACCTGTGATCCTCGTCCACTGATGGATCCTAATCTCGAAATGGTAAGATCGGTGTCCACCGATGAAATTCTTTCCCCTCTTCAGCTTACGAAAGGTTGTGCAACCGATGTCGATCGCATTACTCCGAAAGATGTAGCCAGGGCGAACCCCGTTTTAATCACTCCCCTTTAAACTATCTTCTTGCATCTTCACCCCACCAACCCCACATGAAAATTGCCCGGATTACCTTCGTACGTATGATTTCTAATCCAACACACCCCGAACAATTTCGGCCCATTTATATAATCTGTCTTCACTCACCTATTTCACCGCATTCTCTTCGACAGATGGGTTCTATCGTTTGCAGTTTTAATTCCTTCGCACAAATGGCTGTTTCGAAACTCCAACTTTTTCCATGCCTTGCCTCGTTCCTATCATGTGAATCACACACATTTGTCTTTTGCATCATTCGATATCTCTAAAGCTTTCGACTCCGTTCTCACTATCCTTTACTTCAACCTGCGTCCTCTTTCGGCGCGCCATCGTTTCTACTGGATTATCTTCATTCCTATTATGCCTTCGTTGTTCCCCATTACGACAGGATCTGCATTCATCCGCGGAGGGTTGCGCAGCAAGGTGACCCGCTTTACCTATTACTCTTTACTATGAGTTGGAATGAAACTCCTAATAAGCCTGCATCATTTGGTCTTTGACTACTGGCTCGACGGATTAGAAGGCTTATGCCGACGATGTGGTCATCCTTGCGCTGGACCGGGAGGCCTTGGTGGATCATTTCAGAACGCATCATTAGGAATTTCTTCTTATAGGCTTACTAGTTAACCAAGTGAGGTTGACTACTCACAATATCGTCGTGAACAGTACCAGGAAAAGCACTGCCTTGTACACATCTCCATCCTCAAATTCGTCCATCATCACAGTATCGCTTCAGCCAGAGGAATCGTCCAGTTATCTCAGCCTCCTGTTCACCTAGAAAGGTAAGTAGCCATCGGTATCCCTAGGACAAATATGCTCAAGCTTCAAAAGACCACCCGAGTCCCTGAAACCAGAATACGAATTAGAAATATTTCACCACTTTATACTATCTGTATGACCGTATTACAGTGCTATGGATATTGATAAACTAGTGCACTCCTATCTAAGCAAAGGGCTGTTGCTGCCGAAGAGTACAATGGTTACCTACTTTCACTCTACTATCGAAGATCCTAGATACGGGGACACCAGCCCTGTCCACTAGACTCTTCTTCTTTGGAAATTTCGCCTGGAGCGCCACCTGTTTAACTCTCAATCTGTAACTAGCTGGGCGATCCGCGATCTCGCCGCGGCCTTTACTCACGACATAGGCCCAGCTTTCGTTTTGTGTGCGGACAGCATGTCCTCGACAAGGCTGCATAGAAGACTTGGAGAACGGCTTCTTATCTTGTGTCAATAGTCCCCTGCTCTGGGATGCAACAACTGTACCTTCAGCTCAATAATGGCCTAGATGATTGACTAAAATCTTCCCTAGGTTGTTCACAGAAGAAATTCAGATTCCGTTGCGGACAAAGATCATCTCAATGAAGACACACTGAGCTAGAAGTAGACCACTCCCATAACACTCATTCGTTGCAGTGGAGCTTGCGCCTCGAAAGAAACACGTTCAAGCATCCTTTATCCATGTGCAGTCGCACACGATGATTACTGCAAAAGACAACGACATCGTTAGATGGCCGTTTCGTCCTACTGGGACTCGTCAGTAGCGCACACCCGCCGAATCATGCCGGATTCGAACCCACGACCTTACTCTTACGAGCCAGCAATTTGACACTGAGCCATAGGTGACGGCAGCGAAGCCATGATTGATATAAACTGCGATATAGTGCGGCTCACCCCCACTGTCGCGTAGGCTATGAACGTACAGTGGACAGGGTTGACTCTAAATCAACGAGTTCCTTTGCTACTTTATCGAACAGCTGTCGAAAAGACTACTGCACATGTTTTGGATGTTTCTATTGTTACGTAAACTGCATGGAACGGACCTGCAAACCGAAAATGAGGAGGTATGGTGTCGGGCTTCATGCAGATTTGACTTCCAGATAGGTGCGAGCATATTTTCCGCAAGCGTCGAATAGAATCCACAATCCCGTGAATATGAACAACCGGGGATTTATTTGTCCTGCTACAGCAACATCACAGGTCATTGGGTCTTTCACAGTTCAACATTTCGGATCTTTATGTCGCGGACAGGTATATACACGGAGTCTCCATCCTATAGCTTGTACACAACACACAAACACACTGGACAACTTGGTGTGCAGTTCCATCCGGTGTATAGAATTCTTCATTTCAAACTACTATCTTCGTCTTCGGCCGGGACATTGTTCTAGCTTGGCAATTTACTGTAATTTTCGATTGGGTCATGCACACAAATCATAAAAATACATGTTATTAATTCATGCGTTACGAAAGCTAGAACCGCTCTCAATCTACGACATCCGTGAACGCAGAATGGATTTTTCCTACGTCTGGAAGGCTACGTGTAGAGGTCCAAGGTAACGACCACCCTACCCTTTAGCAATAAAAGCTGGTTCACTCTGTCAAGGGAAGTAAAGCACCTTTATTTCTTCGCTCATCGCTCAGTATTGACTTCGGAAAATGACACGCCACGGTAATTTTTAGCCTCTACTTGTGCCTCTCCATAAAGAGCGCTACATACCGGAAATGCGCAAGTTTTACTTCAAAACAATAGAAAATTCCACAAGAATAACGGAAGGCTAGGAGGATGATACAATCACAACTGACATACGCAAACCGAGCAATGTTGCAGTCTCGGAGTGTAGTACGGAGGGGAGTAAGAACAGCTTGAGCGCACGCGACGCTGACTATTCATTGAGACGATTAATGCACCGACGACTCATCGACCGTAAAGTTACTAAAGCACGTAGTGCTGCTTCCTCTATAATTATGATAGCCAAATGTACATGAGAAGCAGAGTAGGAGGCGGATTGGCGCACTTGGTTCTGTAAGTCTCACTGTAAAAGTAAGATCAATCGGTCTCAAGTATGTGCAGTGACGATCAGTGAGCACAAGGTCCAAAGTTGTGCCATTCGTGAGAGACAGACGAATAACAAACTGTACAATTTGCACTCATCAAATCAATGGGTTCCCTTTCTACCCGGAAAACCGCTGGTTCAGAGTGCACGCGTGGTATTCGGCCGTTCGCCGAATGGTGCAAGTGTCTGGATTGTAGTCCACAGATCGCCGTTTCGATGCTGAGTAGATGCGGGCGAACTAGCAGTATATCCCTAACCCGTACACGGTTGCCGATGGTCGTGTAGCAGCAAAACGCCGGTACAAGTTACAAATGTACTGCTGAAACTCAAGTGAAGTGGAGGACTACACGAGGTAAACTGTCCGAGAGAAGACAAAAATTTCCCGAAAAGCCATTATTTCAACGATTAATGGTTGGTTACCGATTTCCGCAACGATTACGAACTTTATAGAATAGTCTAAGGATTGCAAGTGACCGCCAAACTCCTGAGGATTAAGTGGGTCGGCATGGAAGTGCTAACGTTGGCAGATGACCTTCTCATACCAGAAGTAAGCGACCTAAAAGTACGACTAAGGTCTGCTACAGTTGCACAGTATTTTTGACGGCGGCGGCGATTAACGTGTGATCTTGTCAAAGTCATTTGTGTTTTGTTTGCTCCTTCGGCTGAGCTAGAGGTCTTGTGGAGAAGTAAAGTGCCTATTTCGGAATCGCAACAAGCGGGAAGATTATAACATAAACGAGGGTATTTAATAGCAGGAAACAGAGTCACTCTGGCGTGATGCAGCGCCCAAATTTTGTTGGCGAAAGTTCGACGAATCAGTAGTGTAGGTCATGTGAAACGTTTGATGATGTAGAGTTTTATAACGGTCACAAGATAGTGGTTTCGAGCAGAACAGAATTATGGAAAATGAGGAAATCACCATTCGGTTAACCCGTTTGCGGGTCACTAGCAGTTGAACCCTGGCGATCAGAGTGGGATTTGGAACGCATCATCCTAAACAACTGCTGTGCTCTGATTGAAAATACAAAATCCACTGAAGGATGATACGGGAAAAGTAGGACGAGAAAAAAGATTGGTACATTAATGGGGTCCCAACCAATGGATAAGGCTTCATAAGAGAATATCTTGAATATGAAAATGCAGTATGAACAATAGCGTGGATGCGCAACAGGTGGTAATATATTGGATGGAGAGCAACAGAGACCTAGCTGCTAACGCATAGACATTCTTTACAAATGTATCCTTATGTACTAGAAAGAATAACTCATTGCAACGATATGAGGAAAAAACCGGGAACAGTGAAACAATGACAAACGAAATATAGAGGGTAGCTACGATACGACCAACTAGAGATGTCAAGCAGTTCATCCAGCGCATGTTAGCATAGCGAGGCAGAGGTAGGTAGCCGGATGCGATAACAGAGGGTAACAGTCAGGAAAGAACAGTAAAGCCTTAACAAGTCGGCGGAAACTAGGAGACAGCAGCCAAGTTAAGCTGAATGAAACAAATATAAGTAAAAGGTGAGCATCGCGCTTAAATGAAGTGACTCACCTTGAGAGCTCGGGCAAGCATACACTTTGCATGCGTGCAAAACACACGCTCATTAGGCTGGCTGATTTCCTCCGTGTGCTGACGTTTCGGTTCTACCTCAAGCCCAATGGAGTTGTCGGCCGATTTACGCATGCACAACGGTAACTGCGATAACATCGGGGTCAACATATCAGACGTGGTGGAGCACTCCAACTGCCGAAGCGCATCCAAACCGCCATCCAGTTGGGCTTTTGTGTACGAGAAAAGAGCTCGCTTTCTTGACATTCGCTTCACTGTTGTCGAATTACTCTCCGTGTCCGAAGCGTCAGGTGCTAAGGTCCTTGCCACGGAGTTGGTTTGAAGCTTACTGCGCCTTGCATGTTTCTTACCACTCAAGTGCATATTAAATTGTTCACTAGACGAACATGACAAATCACACAGCGTACATCGCCAGGCTCCTCCAGAGTGTTGAACCGTGCTGTCACCCGTAGTAGTGGTAGCGAACAGAGATGATTCAGCAGAGGGGGTTGTGGGGACGGATGCCACTAAGTCCGCTGCAGCTCTGTCCAACTTGCGCTTGTGTTTGGAACCATTGATGTGAATCTCGAAGCTCTGTTTAGAGTTCATCGGGACGCCACAAGTGGAGCATTCAAAGGTACCTGCAAACGTAACAAGAGAGAAAACCGATTGAAATATCAAGAGGAACAGGGATTACTACTGATTACAATAGTGAAGATTTCTATTCGAACCGAACTTGCGAAATGATACCGACCATACTGGGGCCAGTTTTCATCGTGTTAAACTGTGATGTGAGTAATAGTGTGCAGTAACTATCCTAGACGCGGTTGCAGACATCTTCCAGCAATAAATAAACGGTACGAATATCAAATCCGAACGGACCCGGACTCTCCAAGGACAAAAACGTCAATGGGCAACACAAAGCGAGTGTGCGGATAGCAAAGACAGAAGTCTAGAGCGTTCGTAGTGGTGAACAGGAAACACTGCGCTTACGTTTCACAGATATTACACAGCAACGAGATGCGAAAGAGGAGCAACGCGATCAGAGTGATGCGGTAACTTACGTGAGTCAATTTTTACGTGAGGAGTGGCCTCCAAGTGATGGGCGAAAGGAACTCGTCCGGAAAATTTTACGTTGCAAGAATTGCAGACAAAAGTTTCCGCGGTATGTGTGACCTCAGTAGATGCCATCGCGTAAGTTTCTGTAATCGAGATAGGACGGGCATAACTGTCATAATGAAGAGTGCTTCTCACGAAAATACCAGTTCTACGTGGTGTGAGAAATTATGTACCTATAAAACGTATTGAGATACGTTTGATTGTGGCCCCTAAGGGGACTCAGAGGAGCATATGGTGTGCAGAGTAATGGTTTTACGTCAAAAAATTAAATCCCAACATATTAACCACCAAAAACCGGTGACCACAGCTGCTCAAGGCACAGTCGCGGGATATTAAGTCAACTCGTTTGTCGCATAAAACAAAACTCATGGGTTATCGTGGATGATGGGAACACGGATATTGCCCAAGTCTTCACCGCTAATTGCTTCTAGACAGCAAAAACATGTCCATGGACACAAATTCGTAAAATTCACATGCGCTTGACAATGATCGTCGGAAGCAGGGTTAATTCGCCGCCAACCAGTAATGGTTACGAATGTGACCTTCTGAAATAAAAGTTGCCTCATCCCTGTTGGGAATTTCGCTTTTAGTGAAGATGGGCGCCGAAATCAGCGTTATATCCCATATACCGTATATTACTGTGTAGAAGTCGATCCGTATATAAGCCGACAGTATGACTTTGCAACATCAAATTTGTCAAAAATCTTAAGTCCGTATATTAGCCGACCCCCGAAAAAGCAACAAGAGAAACGCAATTGTTTCTCACAATGTTGACTTCCTCCCTACCTGTTCTCACTTTAGTGTGCTAAAGCGAATCTGTTCCCTTTGTCAGTTCTGGCGACCTAATGTGTTATGACTGCAGTTAATGATGCTTAGAGCTGTCAGAACAGATTTTAACTGCACTGGATCAGATGTCAAGTTACACGAAACAGGTAAGACAGCCGACAATATGAGGTAAGGTGAAAGGGTATGCCAGACACTGCCTCGCAGTGGAGCAGCGGGTGAGGGGAAAGTTCACGATCAGTGGTGTGGGATGACGTGGTACTTTTAACGCACCGGATTGACTAGCATTGCATAATGTATAAGCGCTGTGATACGCTAAGCAAAATAGCGCTAACGCGACGTCACACGATACAGCTGAGTGAATGTGCCTACATTTCGTGTGATCTTCCAAAGTCGTGGAAACGTGAAAAAATGTCTAGACAGAAGCGAAGTGTATATGTTGCTGGCCTTAAATTGAAAGTCGTCGCATTTGCCGAGCAATCTAATAATTGTATGGCTGCACGCCATTTCACGGTGAAGGAAAAGCGAGCGAGAGAATGGCGAAAGGAAAAGTCCGAATTGTCACTAATGTCTGTAGGCAAGAGAACAGCACACGGTAGAACAACCGCGTTTTCTGCACTGGAAGAAAAATTAGCATAGTTGGGTATTGGAGTCACGGCACTGCGGGTTAGTTGTTACCCGAACAAACATGCGGATAAGAGCGTTCACGATGTTAAAAAGTCCGGAATTCCAGCTGTCAAAACCGATGAATTTCGTTGCTTCCTCCGGATGGTGAAATTGTTTTATGAGCAGATTCGACATGTGTCCACGGACACGCACAAAACTAGCTCAAAAACAGCCGAAGGAATTGAACAGTAAAGTTGAATATTTTCAAAGATTCGTGATTCAGCTGATAAAGCAATACGACTTTGAACCGTCCCAAATATGAAAAATGGACGAGACGCCCATGTGCCTTCAAATCGCACATGGGAGCCGAGAGGTGCCAACGCAGTTTTTCTAAAGGAGGAAACACGGTTCACAGTTGTTTTAGAGTGTCTGGCAGATGATTTTCGTCTATCACCTTTCACTATTTTTAAGCGTCAAACGCTGCCTAAAAGAGAGAAATTCCCATATGGCGTGTTTGTGTGGGATCACGCGAAAAGATGGGGAGAGAGTGGCACTACAGACTGGCCGAATACAGTCTATGGAAAGCGAAGGGGTGCCCTTTTAAAAGAACCATCTATGCTGGCTTGGGATTTCTTTAGGGCACACCGAACTGAGAAGGTGGAGAAACGATGCCGTGTACTAAAGTCGTCCGTGGCTTTAAATCCCGGTGGACTTACATCAATCTTGCAGCCACTGGATGTCTGTCTAAATAAGCTGTTTAAAGATAGGATTCGGGCCAGGTGGACTGAATATATGGCATCGTTTGATTTAGCGTTGACGAAAGGTGGCAACGTGAAAACGTTTGACATTGTGACAATTGCAGAGTAGGTGAAAAGAGCGTGGCTGGATATTCCATCATATATCATCGCACGATCATTCGAAAAGTGCTGCATCAGTAAGGCTATAGATGGAAGTGAGGACGATGCCATGTCTGAAAAATACGACAATGAGGAGAGCGGTGAAGTAGAAGATGACGATATTCGCCCTGACGTCCAATGACAGACGACCAGTACCATAAACTGTTTGGAGATTCCGACTCGGATTCTAGTTTCGAAGGATACGTGTAATTTTAATACAATTGTGAGCCTATAAAATCTCCCGGCTCTGTCATGTATATTCTCAATGTTAATGTGTGTGATGGTGTTCGATTCTGTATAATCAGTATGCTACCGTTACTGCCATCCGTCACGAAAGTCAAATGTGTAATGTACCGAGAATTTTCGACACAAACATAATGTGTCTACCTATAGGCGCTTCAAATCTCCGCAAGGGATACTGTCTGTCGCTAGCTAATGGTGCTAAGGTAAGATAAGAGCGTGTGTGCTGTAAATTTCTGGGTGGATTTTGCATGTGATTTTTTCAAATTGCGCATAACGTTTGTAAGAGCCGACCTTCCCGCTAGACATGAAAAACAGTCTAAAATTCCTCGGATTATACACTAATATATATATATATATATATATATATATATATATATATATATATATATATATATATGTAATAGGCGGGAGAGCCTATGGTGCGCTGAGGCTGATGGTGGCTAGATCCTGACAGATGGTCTACCCATTGCTGCTACTGTTGTACCATTTGCTCATGTCCTGGGCGCCTCCTCGTGGGGACCGCTGGGTGGGAGTTGGGTTTCGCCCTTCTCTCTGCTAAGATGCAGGACACCAATCCGCATGAGTCAGTGAACTGACCATGCGCTAAACCTGCTGTTTTTCGGGTGTTCATTTAATAGAAGGCCTTGGCTGAGGACCCGAGTCGTTCTCCTGCAAGGTGTGGGCGCTCTGCCAGTATCCTAGTCCATCCTCTTCGGAGGTTAGGAAGTGGTCGATGGCCCTCTTCCAGTAAAACTTAGCTATGGGAAACAATAGGTTTACGGGTTATAAGCTCACAGCTCGATTGGCGTAGAGCACGAGCACTACGCATTGTCTCTGACGGTGGGAGGGCACCTCCGGGTGTTCAATGGTTTGCTACTGTCCGCCTCAAGCCAGGCAGCCCCTAGTCAAATTGGTGCAAACCCGCCAAAACCCACCTGCGTCTGGCCGTGGTCGCAGGTGTATCCTACTACGGTCGCAAAATACATGTAACTCGTTCCAGTATCTCACAGGCTGCGTGTGACGGCCGTCAAGCAGATCCCCATCTGTCTCTGCAATCACATTCCCGAGCTGGATCTTCTCCCCACTGTCTTGTGGGTCAGACTATTGAGCCAAAGGATCCGGGCGGAGTCCCTCAAGCAAACCTCCAAACCACCCACTGCCTTGTGGGTCAGGCTATTGAGCCAAAGGCTCCGGGTGGAGTCCCTCAAGCAAACCCCCGAAGCACAACGACCACCTCGCGTGCGATTGCCCACCAATGCAATCGTATGCCTGCGCGCAAAGCACTCAGCATCAGGTGCTGGAACGTGCGCACACTACTGGAGCGGAACTCCAACGAGCGCCCGGAGCGGCGCACTGCACTCGTCGCGATGGAAGTGACGCGCTACAACATTGATATTGCGGCGCTCAGTGAAACGCGAGTCGCTGAGCAAAGTAAGTTGCATGAAGCAGGTGCTGGCTACACATTCTACTGGGTGGGCAACGCCGCCTCGGCACCACGTGATCATGGGGTCGGATTTGCAATATCCGATCGCCTCCATGGCCAGCTGGTGGGGGAACCAACAGGCATCAGCGCGCGACTGATGACTGCTCGCCTACGACTCGGAAGAAGTAAGTTGATCATTTTTATAAGCATGTACGGTCCGACCATGCGTTACTCTGATGACACGCGTGCTCATTTCTACACTCAGCTATCCTCCGTGATACGGTCTGTGCCGAGGAGCGACCGACTATTTCTGTTGGGTGATTTCAACGCGCGCGGTAGGCGTGATGTATCGGTGTGGAAAAATGTTATCGGTTCGCATGGCATTGGTTCAGCGAATGCGAACGGTGACAAGCTGCTCTCACTGTGTGCTGCTCACGGCCTGTTGATCACAAACACCCGGTTTGCACTGAGTGCGAGTGATATAGCAACTTGGACGCACCCACGAAGTGGTCAAGCTCACCTGCTCGACTATGTCATCGTACGTCAGCGTGACATGCATGAAGTGCGCATGACACGTGTACTGCGTGGAGCTGAGTGTCACACTGATCACAAGTTGGTGCGGACCAAACTGTACATATATTTTCGTAAACCTATGTACTGCACTCCCGCCTTGAATCGGTGTAAATTTAACATTCTCTCCCTCAGTACTGTGGCGAAACGTACTGAGTTGGAGAAGGCGATGGCTGCACGCCTGTGTGATGTGGAATACATAGCCACAGTGGGCGACCTGTGGCATCACATTCGCGACCAGGTGACAGCTGCTGCCGAGGAGACCATCGGGCGCGCAAACTCTAAGCGGCCTGATTGGTTTGATGAGAACAACGCGAAGATTTGCGCATTGGTGTCGGGGAAGAATGCAGAATTTGCTGCACAAGTGGCAGACCCCAGTGACTTGGGGAAGAATAGTCAGTCGCGCAAACTTCGACGGCGACTGACCAGAGAGCTCCGTCGCATAAAAAATGCGCGGTGGACGGAGAAGACGAAGCAGATGGAATGCTACGTCGAACGCCACCAACACAAGGAATTCTCTGACTCCTTGAAGGCGGTGTATGGACGGAGATTGGAGCCGCTGAGGACACTGATCGATGGTAGTTCAGGCGCTACCTGCACACAAACTGTATGTATAATGCAGATCTGGCGGAAACACTTTGAATGTCTCTTGAACAACCGTTCAGAGATCGACTGGCCTACATTGAACGGCCTCAAGTAGCATGATGTGAAGACGAGTCTGGCGGACACGCCGACACTGGATGGGACGCAGAGCGCACTCGTTCAGCTGCGAAACGGCAAGTGTGCTGGGGCCGACGGGATCCCGCCTGAAGTATTGAAACACGGCGGACCCGCGTTGCTGACTGCGCTGCACCACTTGGTGCAACGTGTATGGATTGAAGAGGAGGTGCCTCCTGAGCTGAAGGATAAACTTGTGCTATCACTGTACAAGAGCAAAGGGAGCAAGCAATGTTGCACGAATTATCGTGGCATCAGCTAGCTGAGTTGTGTGGGCAAGGTGATTGCCCGAATCCTGTTCAACCGCCTCGTCAGTCAGGTTGTGGAACCTAACGTGGAGGAAGGGCAGTGTGGATTCCGTTCGGGTCGCAGCACTATAGATATGGTGTTCGCGGCTCGTCAGTTGCAGAAGAAGTGCAGAGAACGACATCAGCCATTGTACTCGCATTTTGCTGATTTCACCAAGGCATTTGATACGGTGAACCGCGAGGCATCGTGGCTGGTGTTGGGAAAATTCGGTTGCCCGCGCAAGTTTGCAAGTTTAATTGAATGTCTGCACAGTGGTATGCGAGCGAGGGTGCAGCTGAGTGGAGAGACCTCGGATGACTTTGCAGTTGTCTCTGGTGTGAAGCAAGGCTGTGTCTTAGCTCCTGCCCTGTTTAACATCTATCTTCATGCCATGATGCCCTGTGCTTTTGATGCCGCTTGTGCTTACGGTGTTCCTGTGGAGCACCGTATTGATGGTGGGTTGCTGAACATCCGTCATTTCGTTGAGAGAACTCTAGTCTGTGAGACAACTATCCGTATGTTGCTGTTTGCTGACGACTGTGCGTTGTTTTCACACAACGCGGATGAGTTGCAGCACATGACAGCTTTGAAAGCAATCTTGCAAGTAAATTCGCCCACTAAGTTTAACATACCGCCGAATGCATTATGTGCAACTTTCTGAGACTCGACCATCTTCGGCCTCTTTATGCGGTTCCATGTGCTCCTGGAAATAATCGTGATGTCTGAGGCCGTGTCAAATTGCAGTTTCGTTGGGATCCCATTGATCAACACCCTGATAAATCGTCCTCTCGATTTACACTCACTTTGGAGTGCGGCAACTATGGACTGAGACTCTGCGCCATCCTCCTTAGAATTCCCCTTTCGATAAGACTTCTTCACTCTGACCGGACCTGACTGCAGAATTCCTCCTTATACCCACGCTTATGGAACGTTTGACAAATGACGTTTGAACAGACAAAAGCGTGGGAAATGCCATTCGCCGCATGACCAGCATGCTGTGGGTGGCTTGTTCGTAGACCACTTGAAGGGTTTGCTTGGGTTGGCAGTCCTGGTCTTTTTCATGAAATGCACGGTATCTGGTGGTGAGACCATTCCGTTCGACTGGCGCAGTGTCGTGTTTTAGAGTGAGCAGCCGTTTGCATTCGCTCACGAGGAATTTCAGTGTCAGATCAGGATCCTGATCCAACTTAGCTAAAGCCGCATGCGGATCTCAGCATCACTGAGGGATTGTAGAGCGCTGACGAAAATGAGACACTTAAACTGATCGTCCGTTAAAATGCGTAGTTTGAAGTGCTCACCATCACGGTCAATCATGTCTGGTATGGCCCCGAAGTCGTCCGATTCCGGGTTGTCAATTTTCTGGCATTGATAGCGAATACTAAACAAGGATACTGACTCACCAAAACTCTCCTTTAGCTGCGACAATACTTCGTCAAACGTCAGATCCTTCGGTTGTTTGAGCAGAATGTGGTCTATGAATCCTGAATGTCCACTTATTCCGAGCTTGCGGAGTAGCAATCGTACCTTCCAGGAGTCGTCCTGAGGAATGAAGTCCGTCCGGAACATGTCTTCCCAGCGCCTGAACCACGCTTCGAATGTGCGTCCAGAATCCGCGTTATAATTGAATTCAGTGATTGTATTCGTGAGGAGATCAACAGAACTCGCCTGCATGTCCCGCGATGCTGCTTCTGTTGTCTGCAAACTCAAGCATTCTGTCAGATTTTTGATCATTTTCATTTGCGACTCCATTTGAGATTGCTGTTGGAAAAGCAGCTTTTGGAATTGTTCAGCAGAAAAATTCAACACCTTTCCAATTCTCTGTCACCATCTGTCATAATCCTCTCACTACACGCGATTCCGAAATTGACACCCTAATGCTCTACAGAACTTCTAGCCCAACCGAAGAAAAAAGCAGAACGGCAGTCACCTTGACAAAATAACGTATTAGTCGCCGTCAACAAACACTGTACAACAACCAGGAACCTTGGTTGTATTTATAGGTCTATTGCTGACCTTTGACTTCCAGAATTGGAAGGTCAGCTACCGAAATCAGTGGTTTCCCATAGCGTTTGCCGAGGTTTCAGGTGGTTTTTAGTTACATGCAGCAATTGGAACATTCCAGAACGTTCGAAATCGATGCGATAATCGTTATTAATCGATTAATCGCTAAAATAGTGGATTTTATAGGTAATTCTTACTTGCACCTGGACAGTAAGAAACGTCAGTTACGAATTCAAGGGACATAGCGAAAGCCACCATCGCAATGAGGCTGGACCTTACCGTACTGCGATGGTTTGTGTGCCTCAGCGATCCATTGAGCTATACTGGGTGGTACTTTCTGCACCTTCAGAGCCACTCATACCAGATTGGTCAATAGTTAGAGGCCAGACAAACTCAACCTCCTGGTCCTCCAGGTTGGGGGTTGGAATGATGTGGCTCCTTATTCCTTAAAACGGACTTCTTGTAGCCCAACGCCAAACCCGCTGCCTTGTGGTCAGGTTTTTGGACCAAAGGCTTTGGTTGAGAACCCTAATCGTTCGCCTGTCTAGGCCTCGGCAACCTGACAGTATCGTGCCCACGCAATGGAATAAATTTTTCTTAAAACAGTTTCCTGATGCTCTGGCCATCGCAGAGGATAATCAACGGTGCCCTATCTGCTAAACGAGCAGAGTGGATAGGGGTTTGGATGCTACTGCTCAAGCCTTCCCGCCTTGTTATTCCCCCTCATGCGCTTTTCTCTCTTACCGTCCCGTTCCAGCTTCACTTTTATTCCCATGTTTTAAACCCCCAATTCTTGGACCACACTCACCTTGCGCTGATAGGCTTTTACCTTATAGTTTCAACTCACATGTGAACGCGGAGCGTCACTCCTGTCCTGTCGACAAGCCCATGTCCAACCAAACGGCCAAACCCAGTTCATCGACTTCTATTTGGAGCTCTCGATCATCCTTCAGATTGGCGTACCTCAATGTACGCACATTGTTATAGATCGGTCAACAGGCAGCACCTGCCCGAACATTAGAGACCCTCTCGATCGATATCTGCTACTTATCGGAGACCCGCCTGCAAGACTCGAGCTCTGTGCTCCCTTTACGATCCCCTTCAGGTGACACCAGCAGTATTTTTTCATTGCGTCTATCCTGTGACGATGCAGCTTCGAGCACCGGCCAAGCCGGTGTTGGTATTGCCCTGAGTCCCCGGGCTGAAGCTGCTCTGGTTGACTGGATTCCAATCAGTAGCCGGATGTGTGCGGTCTAATTGCCCATCCGTTACCGGTAGCTCAGCCGGCTTGCCCAAGTTGAATTCTTTTTTTCTCCTTTTTTCTGTGTGTTGCGGCACAGTAGCTGAGGTGTTCCCCACCTCTAGCTAATGTGTATGGTGATGATAGGATGATGGTCTGATTGCCTGGCTTGTTCAAAGCCTCGAAGTCGCACGGGACTAACAGATGTCTATTCGTCATCGCTGCTTATGCACCCACAACCTCTAGCGAGGATTCGGTAAAAGACGACTTCTATCACCAATTGAACGAGCTCCTTCGCCACAGAAGTAGCTCGGACACTGTTGTGCTGGCTGGAAATCTGAACGCGCAAGTTGGAAAGTTGTCCACTGATGAACGGCATCTGCGCGGCCAACATGGTGTAGGCTACCATAATGATAACGGTGAGCGGTTACTTCATTTGTGTGAGGATGCCCGCTTATTTCTTGCGAGCACTAATTTCCGACACAGCACACGCCGGAGAGTGACTTGGCGCCCACCAGCTTCGAACCAGTTATGGACGCAAATCGATCACATTGCGATAAGTTACCGATGGAGAGGTTGCGTCCATAACTGTCGTTCGACTTGGAGCACGAGTGTGGACACCGACCACGCACTTGTATGTGCTGACCTGCTGATGCGTTTTGATGGACGCCCAAGACGACGTTGTGAGCGCACTGACATCAGCTAATTGGCGAAACAAGCAGTTCTGAATGCGTATCCAAGTACGCTGTCATGCGAGCTGAGTAAGCGCTCACTGGATGCAGTTGAAGCACACTGGTGTCATATTTACCAGTCCTCACTAACAACAGGAAAATCCTCATGTGGTATGTCTAATAGTCAACATGGACACTGGGCCTCTTCGCAGTCTCTGGAACTTATCGATGCTCGCCGACGTATTTCGGCTGGAAGCGAACACAATGAAACTCGCAAAGAGCTCCGGGCAAAACTCCGTGCTAGCCTGAAGAGAGACCGCGAATCCTGGTGGTCTCTTCGTGTGGTCAGAGAGGGAAATGGCCGCTGCCCTTGGTTATTCCGGCTGATACGGGAAACGGGCAGCAGGAGACCTGGTGTTAGTGAAACTATACGGGACGAGAGCGGACAGCCTATCCACAACTTATCAAAACGCTCGGAGCGTAGGGCTGAGCAATTTAATCGGCCGCGATTGTTAGATTTCGCGCCGGTCACTGATCGTTCTGCTCCCTGGGCCGTCCCTTTCGATCCACCCTCTCGCTCAGAAGTCAAACGTGAGATCGAAAAGTCGAGGTTAGATAAAGCGGCGGGACCTGATGACCTTCCTCCAGCTCTCTTCAAATTTCGAGGCCATGCTCATGTGGATGAATTACACGAGTTATCAGTGAAACTGGGGGAGCAGGAAACTGCCCCAACCGACTGGAGCCGTTTCGTCATAGTCCCAATTTTCAAGGGAGGCTCACGATCGGAATGCGGCAGCCATAGAGGAATCAGTCTGCTCCCCATCGCCTCCAAATTGCTTGCCTCTGTTATCCTTCACAGACTGACTGGCACTCGTGAAATCCAGATTCGAGAAGAGCAAGCTGGATTTCGTCGAGGTCGTAGCTGCATTGACCACATCTTCACTTTGCGTCAGTTGTTGGAGCACCGTCACATATATTGGCGGCCCACTGTTGTCGTGTTCCTCGATATCAAAGTGCATTCGATTCGGTGGATAGACATGCACTTTGGGACTCTCTACTCAGGAAAGGTGTACCTGAGAAATATGTGAATATCATCCGAGCATTATATGCGCGTAGCTCGGGTAGAGTGAGGGCTTACGGCAAGTTGTCGCCGCCCTTTAATATCTCCAGCGGCGTGAGACAAGGATGCCCGCTGTCATCTTTCCTCTTTAACTTCGCTGTTGACGAAGTCATGGAAATCGCGTTCACAGGGCACAACATAGAAGGTGTGGATCTGCTCCCAGGAGAACGACTTCTTGACTTGGAGTATGCTGAAGATATTGCCCTAACCTGTGACAGCTCCCAGACGTGCCAAGCGGCCCTGGACAGATTAGCAATGGCTTCCGTCACTTCGGGCTCTGCTTCGCACCATCGAAGTGCAAAGCGTTGCTCCAAGATTGGCCTGGACCGCCTCCTTCGCAGACTCCTGGTGGGGAGCAGCTAGAAGTCATTCAGAAATTCAACTTCCTGGGAAGCTGGATTAGCGTTCGTGGGATTGAAGCTGAGATCACGAACCGTATAGCAAAAGCTCTAGGCGCTTTTGCTAACCTTCGCCACTTATGGCGCCAGCACGACATCACGCTCGCCCTGAAGGATAGAGTCTACAATGCATCGGTACGTTCGACCCTACTGTACGGTTGTGAAACCTGGTCCTTTAGATCAGCGGACATAAAGAGGCTAGTTACGTTCGACCACCAATGCCTTCGCAATTTAGCTCACATCTGGTGGGAACACCGCGTGAGCAACGAGCGTGTTCGACGCCTTGTTTACGGCACAGGAAAAGGAAAGGAACCGCTCAGCACCGTCATTTCACACACCAGACTCCGATGGCTCGGCCACGTTTTACGCATGCCAGCCCACCGACTCCCGCGACGTGCGTTGTTTGCGCACCGGGGGTGTGGATGGAAGAAGAGGAGAGGTGGACAAGCGATGACTTGGTCGAGAGGAATGAAGACCCTCACTTCGAAGCTGGCCTCATTTGGAGCGTCTCGGCTCCCTGGTTGGGATCCGAAAGACGATGAACATGTCTGGCTGGATACACTTGTTGATATGGCTAGGAACCGACCTCAGTGGCGCTCGTGCTGTGAGTTTCTTTGTCCCACTCCATCCCTCTTAGCTTCCCCTCCAACCACGATCTCATTATTTAACATTTTATAATTTTGCATAGGAAATTACTTTTTTGCTGCATGGTAGCCGGCAGATAGCTTACCGGAACGATGCCCATCCGTTACCGGTAGCTGAGCTGGCTTGACCTGTAGCATTTTATTCCCTTCTTTTCTTTTAGGTATTGCGGTACAGTAGCTAAAGTGTTTCCCACCTCTAGCTAACGTGTATAGTTTGTGTGTGTAGCGAAAGCCAGATCTAGAGCAGATAGCACTTGGTTGTCTATATACCTAGTGGAGAAGTCCACGAACTGGTGCGACGGCACATGGAGCGTCAGTTCAAGAAAGTCTGCACGGAATGTTCATGACGCCGAATTGCACAAAAGATCGGCCCAACAGACACCTGAGAAGTTGAAAGCCCAAAGAACTAAACATCTATATGCAGACTGAGTGCGAATAAAGTCAATAATCCACCTGGACTGTAAACTGAGCAGAGGTGCACATAACAGCCGATAGGGCTTCATTAGTCTGATCCAATAACTGAAATGTGCAGGCCCACAATACACCTAATTTACAGC